AAAGACGTTTTTACAAACTCTCTACTCGCTCGCAATCAAACAAAAGCCTTATCAGACTATACAAATATTGAAGTACAATCTAAAGTGGTAATAACATCTCAGTAACATTCCGGATAGTAACATTAAGACATACGTACAAAACTACAAACATTATTTATAATTAATTTGAAATGTCTATCGAGTTAGTGGAGCTGATCTGTGTGATACTGGTACCTATAGTGACGTATGTGTTGTACCTATCTATATATATCCTCATCTACTTGACCAAGCAGTTTAGTGAACGTAAGTTTTTTTTTTAATCTATACATCTATACATATACATATACATATATCTGTACATCTATACATATAAATAAAATTGGAGTGTCTGTTTGTAATATTAAAGTAACCGTTTTTTACTACATGAAAACGAATATAAATACGGTACATGCACCAAAATAACATTTTTTACAATTTTCGTCTGTCTGTCTGTCTGACTGTTTGTTCCGGCTAATCTCTGAAATGGCTGGGCCGATTTTGACGGGACTTTTTTTGGCAGGTAGCTGATGTAATAAGGAGTAATTTAGGCAACTTTAATTAAAAAAAATCTTAAATTTTAGAAAAATAAAGTTAAATTCCACGCGGACGATTTATATGGAGTAGGAGTCGAAAATGCTATTTTTTTTTATTGTGCACACACTAGCATATTTTATACATATATACTATTTTGTTTATTTTTAGTGTTTGTGGTGAAATTGTCTATGTGTATAGTCTTACTGAATGTCAAATATAATGAACTAGCTTTTGCCCGCGGATTCGCTCGCGTAGTAGTAAGTATTATTATTAATTAGGTGTAGATTTTGCGGCTTTACTTTTGTTTAGCGTGTGTAAAAAATTAGGGACTACAAAATCTAAGAAGATTTATACAAACTTTCATCCCCTATTTTATCCCCTTAGGGGTTGAATTTATCAAAATCCTTTCTTAAGGGATGCCTTACGTCATAGTAGCTTTATGCATGCAAAGTCTCAGCCCGATCGGTTTAAAATTGGCAAACTTTCATCCCCTATTTTATCCCCTTGGGGGTAGAATTTATCAAAATTATTTCATAACGGATGCTTATGTTATACCATCTACCTGCATGCCAAATTTCAGCCCAATCCGTCCAGTGGTTTGGGCTGTGCGTTGATAGATCACTATGTCAGTCACCTTTGAGTTATGAGTTATGACCACCATGACTTTTTCTAAACGATACTTGGGGACAGCAAGTTTGTCTTTAAATCTATTATTATGATTGTTTACTGGTACGGTTATCAACGTATTCTGTAATTATGTATTCACTTAGGCTAACTATCCACAATCTTATCGATTGTATTAATTGATAAATCCATTTTGTCTTTCAATGATTTATACACAGCATTGTGTCGAGACGTCACGATCAGTGTGTGTCTATATCTATATGTGTTGTGAATATTAATTTCAAGATTTATTGTGGAATATATATTGTTTTTTTATGTAGTGATTGATTTAATAATGGAAGTGTTGCCAGGAATAATAATGGCAGTGATAGGTTTTGGTATAGCGTTGTATTTTTTAGAATACTTTTGGTCACGCAGTAAGTATTTTATATTATATTAATTTATATCTATATATATATAACTCAAAGGTGACTGACATAGTGATCTATCAACACACAGCCCAAACCACTGGACGGATCGGGCTGAAATTTGGCATGCAGGTAGATTTTATGACGTAAACATAGAAAGGATTTTGATTAATTCTACCCACCCCCAAAGGGATAGAATAGGGGATGAAATTTGTATAAATCTTCTTAGATTTCAACTGATTGAACTGAAATTAAAGATTGGAGCTACTATGATGAACGTCTTAATCATAGGATTCATCGCTTAAATAGGATTTTGATAAATTTAATCCCCATGGGGATAAAATGATGATGATGCAGGATGTAAATGTATTAGTTTGAACCTATCAGTACCTAATGGAACGAATAAGTTAAGACGAACAAAATAATTTTTAGTTCTTTAAGTTACTTTTATTTTAGAAAAATAAAGTTAAATTCAATGCGGACGAAGTCGCGGGAACAGCTTGTTATTCCATACATTAGAAATAGAAATAGAAATAATCTTTATTCAAATAAACTCATTACAAGCACTTTTGAATAGTCATATTTTGATTCTACCACTCATTCGGAATGCAGATTCATCACAAGAAGAATGAACAAGAAACTTGTGTGTTGCTCTTTTTAATAGATGTTTTTTTATATACATAATTACAGTATAACAAGTAAGAGGCATGCGATAATCAACATAGATCAACATCGCTACGCACTCATTATTAGTGTAATCAAATAATATTGTCAGTGCTATGGATTTAAAATTTTTCTATAAAAACATTATTATCGTTAACGAATTCTTCAATTTTATAGTAAGCTTTTTTGCAAAGGAACTGTTTTATTTGACATTTAAATCTTTTTTCTGGCAGATTTATTGTAAAACCTTACGCAATTGCCATAAAACGAATTACTAACTTTAGCCAAACGACATATAGGTAAAATCAGTTTGTTATTGTTACGTAAGCTGTTGTTGGTGCAATCACTCTTTAGAAGATATTAAGAAAGTTTTTAGAGTTCAAAGAAGTGTATTCGATCGATATGTAAAGCGTAGTGCGATGATAGCTGCAGGTCCCTGTTTGGACATTTAAATATGTTACCACTTGCATGCATGTGTATTAGAAACGTGTATGTTTTGGAAATTCTCACCCACAATTCTGGAAGAAATGTGGTGAATTGAATCAGAGGCAAATCAGACCAAGGATCATGAATAGAATAGAATAGAATAGAAAATCATTTATTCAAATAAACTTAAATTAACCACTTTTGAATAGCCATAACAATTTTTTTTTATCTACCGCTCGTTCGGAAAGGTGACTCATCACAAGAAGAACGAGCAAGAAACTTGTGTGTTGCTCTTTTAAATAATCCTTGTAAGTTTACATTTACAAGTCGAAACGTGTGAATACAAACTACAAACTACCATAAATATACCAAGATTGAATCACTAATTTCATCAACCAATCGAACACCTGCCCCCAGGTCGAAATATAAATATACAATAAGATTGAATCACAAGTATTCAAGGGTGAATATATTTAAATATATGTATTTGGTTGCCGTTGAAACGAAGAAGAAGAAGAAGTATTCATGAATAAATTATATCAACCTCAATGCCTTAAACATATTTACAGGAGAAATATATCGAACATATCTGTCTCTCTGTACAATCATTTGCCTGACAATATAAAATTGTTGAACGAGCGTGCTTTTAAATTAAATTTAACCAAATGGCTATTGGCACATTGTTTTTATAGTGTCAAAGAATTTATTGAATTTAGTAATTTAATGCATAATCTATAGTAATTATATATGCCAATAATTCCAATGACATGTTTATTTTAATTTAATTATTTACCAATTAGAATGATGTAAATATATCTTATATATAAAATTCTCGTGTCACAGTTTTCGTTCCCATACTCCTCCGAAACGGCTTGACCGATTCTCATGAAATTTTGTGAGCGTATTGAGTAGGTCTGAGAATCGGCCAACATCTATTTTTCATCCCCCTAAATATTAGGGGTAGTCCACCCCTAATTTTTTATTTTTATTTTAAGGCAAAACAACGTTTGCCGGGACAGCTAGTTAATATATAAAAAATTGCACGCCTGTATGCAGGCTGAATACACTGGACGTTATATTTAATACTAGCTAAGCGTATTGTCACTTATTGCCATTTATAAGTGTATTGTCATTTATTGCCACTTATAAGTGTATTGTCACGTATTGCCACTTAAAATCGTATTGCTAATTATTGCCACTTATAAGCGTATTGTCACTTATTGCCACATATAAGTGTATTGTCACTTATTGCCACTTATAAGCGTATTGTCACTTATTGCCACATATAAGTGTATTGTCACTTATTGCCACTTATAAGTGTATTGTCACTTATTGCCACTTATAAGTGTATTGTCACTTATTGCCATTTATAAGTGTATTGTCACGTATTACCACATATAAGCGTATTGTCACTTATTACCACATATAAGCGTATTGTCACTTATTACCAAATAATGTATTGTCACTTATTACCACATATAAGCGTATTGTCACTTATTACCACATATAAGCGTATTGTCACTTATTGCCACATATAAGTGTATTGTCACTTATTGCCACATATAAGCGTATTGTCACTTATTACCACATATAAGCGTATTGTCACTTATTACCACATAATAATAATAATAATAATAATAATAATAAACTTTTATTGGCCAATAAAACACTTTTACATTCAATACACATTACGGCGAACCACACACTAGACATGCAAGTCTGTATCGTGTGGTTCAGAGGAGATCATTACACATAATTGATATGTTAGGTGCTCGGCTGACTTTAATGAAATAACTTAACAATATCATGCAACACTTATATATTACAAAGTATATATATAATAAATAAATATCTATAAATAGTAATAAATATAAAATATATTAATACATACAATAGATATACACATACTAAGTACTACTGAGGCTTTATGTAATTAAAATTCGGTTTGAAACAATTTCTCACATTGATCATAGTCCAGACTTATTAAAAAATCTTTTATTTTTATTTTGGCTTGAGCTAGAGAACATTTTTTTATATCACATGACTTGCTTATTCTATTATATAAATTTACAGCTATATATGGGCTAAAACGTTTAGCAAAGGTTGTCTGTACCATAGGCAGGGGTATCTGAAAAACTCTTTTTTTTAACAGGTTTCCATATTTGGTGGAATTCAGTACATCTTTATGAGTGACTAAAGTCACTTTCCTCAAAAATTGTTTCCTAACACTAAGTACTTTGCATTCCTTATATAATTTAGTTGTAGAATACCTATATCTTTTTTTCAGCATTGTTTTAAGAACTGATCTTTGGGCTCTTTCGACTTCAATCATGCTTGACTTGGCTGCACCTCCCCAGCAGATGATGCAGTACGACAACACAGAGTGACAGAGGGCATAGTAAACAGTATGAGTGTATTTATGTTAGCCGACTCTCGTAGTTTACGCATCACATGAGTTATGTTTCGAATTTTGTTTGATGTCATTGAGATATGTTTTTTAAAGTTAATGTTTTGGTCAATATACACTCCGAGATATTTTGTGTCATAAACTTTGTTTATACATTGGCAGTCGCACGCTACGTTATTCAAACATTGATTGTGAATTTTGATTTGCAACCCTAAAGGCGGTGCTGACATTCTAGTTTTGTGGAAACAAATATAATTTGTTTTTTTAATATTGATAGTTAGAAGATTCCAATCTAACCATTTGGTTATTTGAGCCATTCCTCTTTCGGCTTTTGAGTAAACACTCTCCCATGATTTGTCCCAAAACAGTAAGACTGTATCGTCGGCATAACATATCATTTCACTATTTTCTAACTTAATATTATGTATATCATTTAGATATAATATAAATAGTGTGGGGCCGAGAATGCTACCTTGCGGTACTCCGAAATTTGTGGTATGGGTATTACTTGTGAACTGTCCCAACCTTAGACAGTACCTTCTGTGGTTTAAGTAGCTGCTGAACCAATTTAATGCTAAACCTCTGACACCTGACTTTTCAAGTTTTTTTAGAAGCAGTTTATTAGACACTGTGTCAAAAGCCTTAGCCAAATCCAAAAACACACCTACACATTGTAATCCTTGGTCAAGTTTGGAGGTGATAGTTGTAATAAGTAGAGACACGGCATCCTCGGTGGACTTTCCTGATCTAAAACCGAACTGTTTAGGAGATAGCAGATTTTGGTTTTCAAGGTATTTAACTAATCTTCTGTTGACAAGTTTCTCCAGTAATTTTGAGAAAGTTCCAAGTAGTGCTATTGGGCGGTAATTATCTGGAGAGTATTTACAGCCTCCTTTATGAATTGGGTATAATAAAGCTGTTTTCCAAGAGTCCGGAAAGAAACCTGATACAAAACTAAGGTTATAAATGTGTACTAGAGGTGTTAAAATGAATTCCTTTATTGTTTTGATTAAACTATTGGTTATTCCATCAATTCCAGGAGATTTATCATTTTTTAACTGAGTAATTAGGTCACCTATTTCAAATTCATCAGTCGGAGCCATGAAAAAAGATCCCAATACGCCATCTATTTTAGGCATCAAGTTCTCCTCTTTTTCTTTTAACTTTTCTAAAATATTATTTGCAAGTGTATTACCAGTGGTTGAGAAATGGATATTGCACATGTCAAGTGATGTCTTTTCGTCAATTGAGTTTTCTATGTATAATAATTCTGTTGATTCTTTCTTGTGTGTTTATATATATATGTTTTTTATTGTATTCCACAGTTTCTTAGGATCACCTTTATTTTTTAATAATTGTTCTTCTTCAAATTTCGATTTCAATCTATGTAAAAGGTTATTGCAAAAATTACGATATCTTTTGTACGTTGTTTGTATTATTAAGTTTTGTGGATTCCTGGTAGCCCGTTGATGAAGCTTATCTCTGTGTTTTATACAGCGTATAATACCTGGAGTAATCCAGGGTTTAATACTGAATTTGGAGCGACTTACTTTAACTTTGCGGGTATGAACGTTAATAATGTTTTTCAAACAGTTTTCGAAATTTGTGACTGCCTCATTGACATCTTCTATATTAGTTACTATTGACCAGTCTATTTCGGCAAGATCTTGCTTTATCGCTTCCGCATTAATTTGAACTTTTTCTTTGTTCATACTCTTCTGTTTTGGTATTTCTAAATTTATTCCAGCAAGAACCATGTTATGATCTGTCACATCACATGTACATACAATGCCGAAAGCAACTTTATTTGTTTTTATGAATATATGATCGAGACAAGCATTATTTCTCGTTGGGATAGTTATTACCGGCAATAGTCCATATTCAGCACTAAGACACATGTATTCACTGTTCGTAATTCTACCATTTTGTAACAGATTTATATTAATGTCGCCAGTAACAACTAGAGTAGTTTCTTTTTTGTGATTTTCAAGATTTTGATGTAAGTCAGTTATAAAAATATCTGTATTTGTAAATGAAGGAGAACGATAAATACAAAATATTGATACACTATTTGGAATATTTACTAGTAAACAATCAGCTTCTCTGAAATTTGGCTCTAAAACTGATGCGTTCCAAGTGCTTTTTATGTATACTACCACTCCACTGTTCTGATTAATTATTTTATTAGTTTTGTGTGAATCATATCCAGGTATGTGTGGTACCACTGGCACATCCATAAGTCTACATTCCGTCAAAACAATAACATCGATTTCAATATTTAGTCTATGGAAAGATATTATGAAATTGTCAAAGTTTTTATTTATGCTACGTATATTAAAATTTAATATGTTAAAACTTCTTTTAGCGGCAAATAATTTATTACAATTTTCAAGTTCAGAAATGTGGTAACATTTAATGTTTATTTCTTCTAAATTATCTGTAATGTCCTGTATTGTTTAAGTATAAATAATGAAAATTTGTTGATATCGTATGAACTCGACATTTCAGTTTTAATCCGCTATTGGAGATTAAAGCATAACAGAATATACGTAGATGAGATCTCTTGACAGACAATTTAGTATTGCAAATTATTGCCTCTTGAATGAATGATAAATATATGTAAGTGTAAATATAAAAGATATACATTACAATAAATACAAATACTGAAATATAATACAACAATTGATATTCATAAATAAAGGTAAACATTCCCAACTTTACAATGATAAGAGTAGTTTTACTATAAGTCACTTTAAATTTGCAATACCCAGTTTCAAACTTATTATTATGCTGTTTGTTCCTTAGTTTGTAAACCAGAATCCAGAGGAAAAATGTGAAAAAGATCCTGTCGTGATCGAATATGTTTTGCTGGTTTGCCTTCCCGTTGCCGCACATATATATTTCCATTACTACACCAACAGTACAAAAAGCCGCATTCCTTCGATCTTTTTCTGGTGTCGCGAAATAAATTTCGGTTTCCTTTGGTCAGTCTTTCGTTGAAATACAATTTAAAATTCGGACCTGTGACGTCAATATCATGGCTTGTAAGATTTCGTCGATTTTTTGATTCTTTAATTAAGGAGTTTCTTTTTGACCGGCGTAAAAGTCGCAGCACAACTGGCCGTGGAAATTTACTCTCACCATTGGAGGTGTCAGTTTTTGTCGCCTTTGAGAACCTAGGCCCAACACGAGTTACCCAATCAATGTCCTGCTCCGTTAAGTCTATTCCAATTTTCCGGGATGCTACCATGGCAATATGAACGAGATTTTCATTGTTATTCTCCGGGATACCTACTATTTCTATTTCATTACTAAGTTGACTCTGTATTTGGTTATTTAATTCATTTTCTAGATGTGTGACAGTTGCTTGAAGTGAGACCACCTTTGTCTCACTGTTTTCAAGTTGTGTTATTCTATTATTGGCTGTTTGTATCGCATTTCCCAGTTCATCCAATCTCTGGTAGCAGCGCGTTAAGGACTCAGTAGCCTCTTCTAGCTTACGCTTTAACGAGCTTAATTCGTGTGTCAAAGATCGTATCTCTGATGTAAGTTCATTTACCTCGATGTCCTTTACCCCAGTAGGACTATTTGACTTAGTGTTTGTCTTCTTCCGAGTTGTAATATTTTGAGAGTCGCTGCGGATAGGAGTGGAGCTGTTATCTCCTACTTTCTTTTCTTGTGTGGCACAGGCGGGACACTTCCAAGTTTTTACAATTGTCGCATCTTGTATATTCGCACACAAGTAACAAAATTTTCTTCCACAATGTTGTTTGGTACATTGAAAATATTTTCCCCTACTTAAATTACTTAGGCATCCCTCGCACTGCATTTTACTGCTTTTTGTCAGTAAAATAAACAGCCAATATATAATAAAAAAACAAAATAAAAATACGTGATGTTGTCTCTCAGAGACAGAACACACGCGTCACTTTAATTGCTCCGTCTGCTCCTTTTATTCACGGCTTGTAGTGTGACAACGTAAGTTATGACTCAGCGCTGTACGGGTTGCATGAGTTGCATACTGTTTTCAACTGTACGCAGTACACGCAACATTCACTATTGGTTGCGTGAAAGATATAAATGGCGGTTAGTTTCGATGCTTACGTGATATTATATGCACTACACGTTACAGTTGTAATAATTTAAATCCGCACTGATTTGTTTAGTTTCTTTTTAACAAATATAATCACTGCCTTTTAACTATTCACTCAACTATATTTTATTGTATTCACTTGTATTCTACTACTTTAACATGATATTAACTGTGAGAGTGTTGACATAAGTAATGTCAATAGTCAGCCGATGCGGCAAAGACTATGATTTATAAGATACATATAAGTGTATTGTCACTTATTGCCACATAAAGCGTATTGTCAATTGTCACTTATAAGCGTATTGTCACTTATAAGCGTATTGCTACTTGTTGTCATTTATAAGCGTATTGCCACCTATTGCCATTTATAAGGTAATTCATTCCGCACATTACCGTTAAAAGCCAGGAAGGTATTAGTACCCGTTTAAAATAGTAATTTTAACACGAAATATATACATAAATATACTAACACGCCCCGGCTTGCTACATGTATTATATATATAAACCTACCTCTTGAATCACTCTATCCATAAAAAAAACCGCATCAAAATCTGTTGCATAGTTTGAAAAATTTAAGCATACATAGGGACAGACTGTGACCACGACTTTGTTTTATACTATGTACTAATAATAACAAGGATTAGCTGTCCCGGCCAACGTTGTTTTACCACATAAGTTAATATTAAAAAAGTAGGGGTTGATGGTAGAAGGGTGGAAATTTAGGGTTGTATGTAGTTTTAAATCCCATTCATAAAGAAATATATTCAAATTCAAATTCAAAATATCTTTATTCATGTAGATCTATTACAGACTCTTATGATATGTCAAATCTACCGTCAGTTCGGAATGATTTCGAGATGAGAAGAACTGACAAGAAACTCGTATTTTTTTGTTAATGTTGTACATATTTACAATAATACTATTATAATTATACATTTAAATTCAAATTTGGGAGAATAGAGTGACCACCAGCATATGCTATATAAAAAAATAAAAAAAATGAAAAAATCTAATCAGTGTTCGCAACCTGAACATATATACATATATACATAACTAGCTACCCTATCCGGCGTTGCACGGGTGTACATGTATTATACATATAAACCTTCCTCTTGAATCACTCTATTACTAAAAACTGTATTAAAATCCACTGCGTAGTTTAATAGATGTAAGCCAACAGACAACGGAAGCGACTTCATTTTATATGATTCATTTTATAAATGTATGATAAACTACCGTTATCAGTTAGGGTATAAAAAATAGATTATTCCTATTCTCAAACCTATAGAGCAGAGGTTCCCAAACATTTTTGTGTCGTAGACCCCATGCTATATCTTTTCGGTTTTAGAAAGACCCCCATACTTACTTGGTGTACAGGACTCCTTACATCCGGTACGACAAATCCTTATTTTTAAATATTCATATTTTACTAGCTTTTGCCCCCGGATACGCTCGCGTTAATTTATCCCATTAGGGGTGGAGTTTTTCAAAATCCTTTCTTAGGGGATGCCTACGTCATAGCAGCTTTATGCAGGCAAAGTCTCAGCCCGATCGGTTTAAAATTGACAAAGTTTCATACAAACTTTCATCCCCTTGGGGAGTAGAATAAATCAAAATCCTTTCTTAGCGGATGCCTACGTCATAACATCTACCTGCATGCCAAATTTCAGCCCGATCCGTCCAGTGGTTTGGGCTGTGCGTTGATAGATCACTATGTCAGTCACCTTTGAGTTATATATATATATATTGATATTGGTTGCTATGGTTTTGTTATGTTTCCTTCTATTGTTCTCGCTTTCTTAAATATAGTTTGTTACGACATATATTTTTATAATACACAGTTACTTGACATATTGCGCCTTTAATTAAGACAATCGTTATCTGCACACACCCCAGCATCCTATACGCAGTCCCACACACCTGGTTTTATTTTTTTGTAAATTTCTAACTGTAGTAAAGTTTAGTGTTAAAAACATAAAGTAAAAACAACAGGATGCTGTCGTAGACCCCTTGCAGTTTGTCATAGACCCCTAGGGGTCTATATAGACCACTTTGGGAATCACTGCCATAGAGTATGTGTAGAAAAAAATATAAAAATCAGTTCAGTAGTTTTTTTTATTGATGATAATGGAATGGTGCACCCGCCTGCGCTAACGGTTTACGCTGACGGGGCACCAGTGGAGGATAATAAGATGAACCAGGTCAGGTCAGTTAGCATATCGTGAGAAATTCACCAGGAATTTATCACGGTGGTTTCCAGGGGGAACCGCGTGGAAGTCAACCTGACGTATACTAGTCAGCTAGGTCATGGGTCGACATTACTAACAATCCCCTCAGCAGCACTGAACAGAGCAGTCCCCACAAGCAGCACCCATTCACGTATGACGGACAGACAGACAACAGTAAGTTCATTTGGTTAATAAATTATGACATACATAGATAATCAAATAATAATAATAATAATCTCAGATCAATTCACACAGCGCCATCTAGACCCATGTTAAGCTAGCTAAAGCTTGTGTTATGGGTACTAGATAACTGATACATATACATAGATTTTTTTTGTAAATACACACATATTATACATAGAAAACACCCAGACCGATACAAACAATTATACTCATGAATACAAATGTTTGTGCCGTGCGAGGAATCGAACCCGGGACCATCGGTCGTAAAGCGGTGTGCTAAGACCGCTAGACCACCGAGGTCGTCTTAAATCTATGGAGTTCTTGTAAAAGAAAATATGCATATATAATAATGTTGTTTGTTTTGATGGATGTATCATTGTATTGTTTTCCGATGTTTATACCAATGATAAGATTTCACGTAAGCCGCGATGACGTCGACAGTTCGTTGGTTTAGTTATTCTGTTATCTTACACAGAAGGTACTGACAGGTTACTAGCTTTTGCTCGCGGTGTCGCTCGCGTTAATTTATTCCCTTAGGCGTGGAATTTATCACAATCCTTTCTTAGGGGATGCCTACGTCATAGTACCTTTATGCATGAAAAGTCTAAGCCCGATCGGTTTAAAATTAACAAAGCCCAAACCACTGCACGGATCGGGCTGAAATTTGGCATGCAGGTAGATGTTATGACGTAGGTATCCGCTAAGAAAGGATTTTGATTAATTCTACCCCAAGGCGATAAAATAGGGGATGAAAGTTTGTATGAAACTTTGTCAATTTTAAACCGATCTGGCTGAGACTTTGCATGCATAAAGCTACTATGACATAGACATCCCCTAAGAAAGGATTTTGATAAATTCCACCCCTAAGGGAATAAATTAACGCGAGCGAAGCCGCGGGTAAAAGCTAGTTTACCATAAAATTATTCATGTTAATACATGTTTAACAATAGAAATTTAACACGAAAATATAAATTTAACTACATATTTCTCCCGTATTTCATCCACTTCCAGTATATTTTATATATTTTTATCTGTATCATTACTAGATTTTGTTTTCTTTAGCTTTCGGCGTCCAAGCTACATTCGATCTCTATTTAATGCCTGATGAAGTCCCGTTCAGAGGCGAAACACGTGTCGCAATATGGGTGTAGAGTCAATAACGGTCGGAATTTGATCACCAATAGAGATGATAACGCTTCCAGTAGCGGTGATCAGGTTCGCGCACTGAATATTTGTGGTCTCACACATGCTTTATTGTAGCGGAATCTAGACACGCGGTAGCGTGTCAAAGCCGAGTTTCAAGTAAGAGTACTGGCGAGCAGCACCGTGTGTATATTTACACGAACCATTTGGAGCCACTTTTGACCCCCTCATAACTCGAAAACTCTTTCACATAAACCTATCAAATTTGGTTCATATATTGAAACTTGCGAGATAAATATGTGTTCCAAATTTCATAAACATATCTCAAACGGTTATTTAGATATTAACGTCCAAATATCGTCATTTTTATCACTGATCAACTATAGATCAAAATTATAACCCACTTCCAGATGACCTAGGAAGTACAAATTTGGCATGCAGATAGGTAATTAGGTGAATATAAAGGAAAATATCTGAAACTGGTAAATTGTTATCATTAAAGAAAATAATATAAATATATTAAGTAATGTATCTGTTATTGTAAATGTAGTATATGGTCATAAAATTAAGTGGGTTACCAAGTCATCAGCGCCGTTCTTACATACGTAGTGTTCTTTAAACCTTGGTTGCTCTTATCATTGGAAGGTGGTTTTACCAATACGCACTAGTTTTACTTGGCCTCAATATTTTTTAAAATTTCTTTCAACTGAGACTAGGGTTGCCAACTTTTTTTGGCAAGTTTTTGATGGGAAGAAAATAAAGTATTAGGAAAAAAAAAATTCTCAAACTTTATATTTTTTTTTCTTTAAAATTTTTGTGTGCTTTTAACACAAGAGCTGTGACAAATGTCACAACTCACAATTAGCATCTAACATTTGCAAATCGTTATGTATCCATAATGAATAATTTGTTTTACGCATAATAAAGGTTGTAAATAAAGTACTTTCGCATACTTTATTTGTATGTAAAAGTATAATTACCAAAACTAAAGTAGGATACGTTATTATAAATTATGGTTGGCAACCCTAACTGAGACTGATAATCCATTGTTCCGTTTCCTTAAGGTTGCGTGGAAAGTATTGCTTTCAGCAATAAGGCCTGGTTTATTGTAACGATACATCCTTTGATATATTGTTTGTGTCTCTTTACTATATACTTTTATATTCTTATGAACATGTTATG